GGGCAGTTCGGTAATTTGGAGGTGCCTAGGGGCAAAAGACCAAGTTAGGCATTTCACATAGAATTGGATAGATATCCATTCTAAATGAACCATGGATCAATGAAATCCTCATTTTGGGCTCTCATGTATTGATCTTAGTTAAGGTATTGTGAAAATATGGTAAGGGTATAATGTACCTTAGCTCCAAATCAACACCTAGGGTCAATCCTAAGACCAAGTAGTCCTATAGGAACTCTCCTTGAGTTCCCTCATAATGATTTTACCTACTAAGTATTAGAGGTTAGGACCAATATGTGGAGTAAAGAAAAGAGTTTTGAGTTTCTAATGGTGAGGGTACCTTTTCTAGTTTTCTAAGATTAGTCAATAGGAAAGTCCTATGGCTAGACCTAGGCTACTAAAGAAGTTTCTAGACCTCAACCAAAAGTGAGGTCAACAGTCACTCAAATTGACGTTAGGCCTACCCTGCGTAGATTGTCAGGTTGGTAGCTCTTACCTAAGGTTGGGAAGCACACAGTTTAGCTCTGAGCCCCCACCTTTACCGATGTTTTATACCTAGTCTTGATCTTCCTTATGTGACTATGGGTTTTGCTTTGTATGTTTGTTTCTTTTTGTTACGACTTTTCCGTACTTGGTTTTCCCGCTTTCCTTTCCTGTAATTTATTTAAATTTCCTGCAAATTATATTATGCTTTATGACACTAATCATGCAGCGGCAACAAAAGCTCAGGTACGCATTTTATTTTATGCACTGCAGTTCCTTTATTTACTTTACAGTATTTCATTACCTACATTTATTTACTTCACATGCAAAACCAAAACCAAAGGAACAACAAAAACAAAAATACCAAAACATTGAAAACATACACGGTAAAACCTTTTGAACTTTAGACTTTAGGATTGTTACTTCAACAAGGAGCTTGAAGTTAACTCTGTGGGCGACACGACGAGGTCCTATAGAAGGCATCTTCGAGAGAGCAAATGAGTTTACAACAACAAACCTTTCCTTAGTTTAAAAAAGAAGCCATAGGACTTCAAGGCAGTCCGTCTAGCACGACAGAAATCCTCAACTTATCTCTTAGGCTTTTGTACAACCATGTTGTGCAACATAAGCCCTAACTAGTTTTAGACTCCGAAGTCGTCATTCATTACGTCGTAAACCCTCCTATCTTTCAGGCTATTTGTATGATCGTGTCATGCAAGTGTAAGCCCTGAATAATTAAATTGGTAAGATTGAAATATCGAATTAATCATTCCCAAAACATAAAGTCAAACAGTAAGATAGTTCGACAAGTCGCTGAGGTTCTCCTCGAATTAGTGACATCTCCTAACCTTTCATTCATTTGGATTCTTGAAAATAATTATTCCTACTTGATCAATTCCTTTTTGAATTTCCAATATCCAATTTTGAAAACTTAAACTATAAAATTCTTGAAGGTAAAACTACTATTCTGAATCGAGAGTATTCTTAAGCTACTGCAGTTACTTAAGATATAATTAACTATAGGAGATTATCTCTATAGAGAACTTTAGAACCCATTTTAATATAAACCCTATCTAATCTTTCATATTAGATAGAGAAACTTGTTGGTCAACATAAATGGTTTCACAGACTAAAACGGATATCCTAAATTCTTTAGTTTATTTAATCGAGCCTCACAGATAAGTGATATGTCTATTCCTCGGAATACGTATGTCATTTGTAGAGTTGCACTCGTTTATTTAAACTATTAAATATATCAGATCGGTTCGGTCTTCTATTTTTCAAAATTGAAATGCTATTTTTCGAAATTATATATATATATATATATATATATATATTATTTTCAAAACTACAAACACTCCATGTTTGTCGGCTGACAGTCGTAACAAACTTGTAATAGTATAAATGGTCTTTCTTCCATCAATTCTAGATTATTAAATATTTGAGGGACCGCATGATTTGGAGCCCATCTTAAGGCTGATTACATACCTTGCCATATCTATTAAATTCACCCATTAGATTGATTTAGGTGACTGACTTGGTGGAGTGAGTTGCCAAATCGACTTGATGGATTAAAGTGCCAAATATCACCTTCCCAGTAGCCTTGACGTTCCTCAGATCCGTCTATTGAGTTAACCTCAACCAGTGGTCCTCATGATTGACAAATACTTGAAGTGATGATCAATGTTAAAAAGATTGGCATATGCTTCATTATCAATTATAACATCCGTGTCACGATCTTTCTAGCAAGAAGATGCAGACAAGTTATATACCAAATAATTCATAATTTTATATTAATTTTTTCTTTATGTTTTTGGGGAAAGCGATCTTGAAGAAAAAAGAGGATCGATTGATCTTTGAGTCTCTCCTTCTCCCTCTCTCTCTCTATCTCTCTCTCTCCTCTCTTCTCATGGAAGAGATTAGATCCTCTCCCCCGTCCTGTCAAAGGAAGATCATCAGAGACGAAGAATTCAAGCATGGAGAACTCCTTCATCCTCTTCTTTTACTTTATTTACACCCCAAGTTGTATGAACCCACGAACGACACATAACCTAAAGTCCTAAAAGGATTTAGCAGTACATAGTACTGCCCGAAATGCACGTAAATGTCCTAATTTTCATTTAGAAAAATTAATTCATTTTTTAGTTATAGAAATATTACTTTTGTTAAAATTGGGATGAATCATTGAATTTCTATCCATGTAAGGGCAAATTTATAAATAAAATTTGATAAAAAATAAATATTGTCCTATACGCCTTCTAGTACTTTAATTGATGTAATGCCTATAGTTTGAAGCATATGTTCGAATATGATTAAAAGGAACCATGAATTTGAAAAATTAATTGGACCCAAATTTGACCACATGGGCTGCATACACATCTTCAATAAAGAAAGAATCAGCGCTCTGAAACCCACTCCCTTTCAATTCTTCAACCGCAGTGTATTTATACCCCCACTTCCCTTCTCCCTCCTCACACGCAACCAAAAATGGCAACTTGCATCAACGCCCCCTCCCTAGCCATCTTCTTCCTCCTCCTCCCTCTCCTCCTCTCCTCCCCTTCCTCCGCCGCCCGCCCCCACGCCCTCATCGCCCCTCTCACCAAAGACCCCAAAACCCTTCAATACCTCACCCGCCTCAACCAACGCACTCCCTCCCTTCCCCTCAACCTCGTCGTAGACCTCGCCGGCCGTTATCTCTGGGTCAACTGCGATTCCAACTACGTCTCATCCACTTACCGCCCCGCCCCCTGCCGCTCCTCTCTCTGCTCCCTCGCCTCCGCGGTTAGCTGCGGCAAATGCTACTCCTCCCCCGGGATTGGTTGCTATAACAACACTTGCGGCGTCTTCCCCAACAACCCTTTCACCGGCACCTCCACCTACGGAGAGATCGGCGTCGACACCCTCTCCCTTCCTTCCACCGACGGCCTCACTCCCTCCTCCCTTGTCTCCGACCCTTCCTTCATCTTCTCCTGCGCCCCCTCCTTCCTCACCAGCGGCCTCGCAGCTGGCGTGGCAGGCATCGCCGGCTTCTCCCGAACCCGCGTCGCCCTGCCATCTCAACTCGCCACCAAATTTGAATTCCACAGCCGCTTCGCACTCTGCCTCCCTTCCAACCCCCGCAGTACCGGAGCCATTTTCTTCGGCCCCGGCCCCTATAACTTCCTCCCCGACATCGACGCCTCTCAATCACTCATCTACACTCCACTCCTCACCAACCCCATCAGCACCGCGCAAATATACAACGGTGGGGAACCTTCCTACGAGTATTTTATCGGCGTCACGGCCATCAAAGTGGGAGGAACCGCCGTGGCACTAAACAAGACGCTTCTGACGATCAACAAGAAGACGGGGTACGGAGGGACCAAAATAAGCACAACAGTGGCGTACACCACACTGGAGACGAGCATATACAAGTCGCTCACGACGGCGTTTTCGGCGGCGCTGGCAAACGTGTCGAGGGTAGCGGCGGTGGCTCCGTTCGACCTCTGCTATGACGGGAAGGGATTGGGGAGCACGAGGGTGGGGCCGGGGGTGCCGGCGGGTGTGCGGGGTTGTTTTGGGTTTGTGGATGGAGGGAGTTTACCGAGGACTTCGATAGTGATTGGCGGGTATCAGCTGGAGGATAATTTGGTGGAGTTTGACTTGGCAAATTCCAGGGTTGGCTTCAGCTCGACTCTGCTGTTCCGGCGGACCACTTGCTCCAATTTCAACTTTACGTCCAGCCCTTGATGATTGATGACCGTTTCGACGTTGGATTGTTTTGATTTTCAATGTTTTTCTATGAATGAATAGAAATGATATGTGATTGAATTTATGTGGATGTTGGTGGCACTTTATATGAAATGATGCAATAAATTAAATAAATTGTTTTTTTTTCTTTTTTGGAAAGCATTCTAAATTTTTTGTTTTTTTAGTTATATTTTAAATCAACTTGATGTATATCTATATGAAGTGATAGGTAAGATGAAGTTTGTGAGGGGAATGTGACATGCATTATTCACTATATTGGAGAGGCACTATTATCGGATGCATAAGTTGATGCTAAATATTATTTTCGTATATAATGCTTAATTTCTATATATTTATATATCTAACAATAAGATTTTAATATATTGTTGAATCTGAATCTATCATGAGAATCACATCTAAAGAATAGAGCGTAGAACGGGTAAAAAAAAAGAGAGTTGGATTACTAATTTGACTTTCATGTAGAAATCATTCCCTTAATTATAATTGAGGGGGCATAATTTAGATAATTACCTGCTTACCCCTGTTTTAGGTATTTATAAAAAATGAGTCTATAAGTCAACTACCCTATCACGCAGTCGATGAAATTGGCGGACCTCAGGTCGAGAAGGTTCGTTCAGGCTATTATGTTGAGTTGCGGATGTCGATATAACCTTGTTGATATTCAATCATCCAGACTTCGCTAGATCGGCTAAAGTCAATCGGATGAGACTAGGCACTATTTCGATAATTCTAAAAGATATACTCTAGAAAAATATATTGATATTTTCAAATTTTTTTGTTATTAAATAATTTAATCAAGTTAAGTAATTTAGTTTTTTTTATTTTTAAATTATGAATAACTTTTTAAATAAAGTACAGATCTTAAGGATAAAGTTTGTGAGGGGAATATGACATGCATTATTCACTATATTCGAGAGGCTCTATTATCAGATGCATTATATAATGCTTAATTTCTATATATTTATATATCTAACAATAAGACTTTAATATATTGTTGAATTTGAATCTATCATGAGAATCACATCTAAAGAATAGAGCGTAGAACGGGTAAAAAAAAAGAGAGTTGGATTACTAATTTGACTTTCATGTAGAAATCATTCCCTTAATTATAATTGAGGGGGCATAATTTAGATAATTACCTGCTTACCCCTGCTTTAGGTATTTATAAAAAATGAGTATATAAGTCAACTACCCTATGACCCAGTCGATGAAATTGGCGGACCACAGGTCGAGAAGGTTCGTTCAGGCTATTATGTTGAGTTGCGGATGTCGATCTAACCTTGTTGATATTCAATCATCCAGACTTCGCTCGATCGGCTAAAGTCAATCGGATGAGACTAGGCACTATTTCAATAATTCTAAAAGATATACTCTAGAAAAGTATTTTGTTATTTTCAAAATTATTTGTTATTAAATAATTTAATCAAGTTAAGTGATTTAGTTTTTTTTTTTTTTTTAAATTATGAATAACTTTTTAAATAAAGTACATATTTAAATTCTCAATTCTCACACCATTAATAACATTACAAATAATTATAAAAAAATTACGTTTGTCACAATCAAATAAAATAAAAATTTGAGGTGCTCCAAATTAATATATATATATATATATA